ATTTTGTTTATTTTTTCAAAAAACCAACTCTTGGTTTCGTTGATCTGCTCTACAGTTTTTTTAGATTCTATATTGTTTATTTCTGCTCTGATCTTTATTATTTCTCTTCTTCTGCTGGGTTTAGGCTCTCTTTGCTGTTCTGCTTCTATTTCCTTTAGGTGTGCTGTTAGATTTTGTATTTGGGATTTTTCTTGTTTCTTGAGATAGGCCTGGATTGCAATGTATTTTCCTCTCAGGACTGCCTTTGCTGCATCCCAAAGCGTTTGGATTGTTGTATTTTCCTTTTCGTTTGTTTCCTGATTGGATTTTAAATGACTCCAGAGGCACCTGTGTGGCTCAGTCGGTTAAGTGTCTAACTTTGGCTCAGGTCATGATCTCACAGTTCATGGGTTCGAGCCCCACATGGGGCTCTGTGCTGACAGCTTGAAGCCTGGAGTCTGCTTCAGATTCTGTCTCCCTCTCTCTCTGCCCCTTCCCCACTCATACTCTGTCTCTCTTTCTCCTTCAGAATAAATATCAAAAAAATTTTTTTAAATAAATAAATAAATGACTCCATAATCTGGTAACATCTTATCAACCCTACAACATTTTGTATTACTCCTGTGTGTGTGCGTGCATGCACGTGTGTGCATATATACGTTATGTATATGTATATATGTATATCTCTTCCACACTAGTAATAAATTTCTTTCATTGTTCCATAAAAAGTTTTCTCACTGCTGCTTTCTTCCCTCATATCTTTCTCCAAAAGTGTCTTCTTTTCCTCTATTAAATAAGCCTTATCAATCCTTAAAGTTTCAGCTTAAGTCCCACTTGTTCCCAAAGATTTTAACTGTATCAGGTTTCTATTGTCTATGAATTTTTCATACATCTTTTGATCATAGAAAATAAGTAACTTTTATCATCTTAGACTTTCCCAACATTATATATATCTTCTCTCCCCATTTAAATTATAAAAACTCCTTAAGACCAGGAACCAAACCTCCAATTTGTTTTATATCATCTATAATCTCTTAACTGAAACAAATATAAAATTTAAATACTTTTAATGATCAACACAGAACATTAAAGGGTAAATAAAAGATAAAATGTAGTTGGAATCATCGTAATATCCACAAGAAAAACCAGAAGTTCATGATTTTCCATAGTAATCTTTTCTTACTTTAAAATGAAAATTTGGTCATTTATTATATAGAGTCTTTCTCTTTGTCATAATGGAAATTAGAATTCAGTCTGGTAGTGGTTCTAACAGAGTTATTGTTTAAAATGTTAGGCATTTTACCATTCTGCAGTTCTCTATTAGTTTCTGGTCAGTATATTTTAACTTTGAGAGCCTTTGTGTTTAAGGATATACACCCACTATGTATGTAAGCGATGAACCATGGGAAGCTACCCCAAAACTCAAGAGCACACTTTACACCCTATATGTTAGCCAATTTGGCAATAAATTATATTTAAAAAAATGATACACACCCACTAGAAAAAGCCACTTCAAATCAATGCAATACTACTGTAAAAAGGGTCAAAGTTATTTAATTAAAATACTACTATATACATCTTAAAATTAGGATATTTAATAGCTTTTCTACAAACCAACACATCCCATGTATTTGGACTTACCTCTTTCAATTATAAAAGCAGCCAATGAATTGCTACATTTCAGATATTCTGAATGATTATATATTAGTTGATTAAATGTTTCTTTAACAATTTGGGATATCTTTCCATGCTGAATATGTCTCCCTTCTGGAAAAAAAAAATCAAATGGAGTATGAATTTGAAGAATACTGTGCTTTCTTGCAGAGGCCTCTATTATTCCAATTACAACCTTAACAATTGAGTTTGTAACTTATAGATGTGTAAGCAAATTATAACTTACATCATGACTGATATTTTAAAGCATTCCATTCCAAATAAAACACGTTATTAAGCTTTATAGAAAATTTCTCTTAATGTCTTCATATTACACACTAGAGAGTTACTGATCTATATTTTTGAAATATTCAAAAGTCCTATAAGACACACTTCTGTGTTGTATAGGATTATTCTACATTGCCAGACAACCAACATCTCACTGAAAGCCAGTAGTCTTCCCTCATCATTGTGATAATTGAAATACATTCCTTAGTTATTTGCCCCACTGAGAACCACTGAAAAACACGGAGCACTTAGACCCTTGATATAGTTCCATGTTCCTACTAAAAAGTCCTGAACTTTGAAAGGGGATAAAGACAGTGTTAAGTAACCAGGATTACCACAGAACAGTTTATAATCAAGAATATACATCAGAAGTTACCCATGGATTTTTTTTTTAAACATGACAGAGGGATACCTGGGTGGCTCAGCTGCTTAAGCGTCCAACTTTAGTTCAGGCCATGATCTCATGGTTCATAAGCTCGAGCCCCACATATGGTTCTCTACTCTTAGTGTGGAGACCGCTTCATATTCTCTCTCTGCCTCTCCCCTGCTCCCTCTCTCTCTCAAATAAAAATATTAAAAAAAATTTTTAAAAACATGAGAGAACTTAAGATTCTGGGGTAGGGCCCTGGCCATTTGTTACTTTGTGTATCCCTACTGAAGGACCCTTGTTTTAGAGAATGAGAGGTTGCAGAATCACATGATACCATACAGTGTTTCTCAAAGTTTAGTTGTAAGACACTGACAGTTCCTCATGTTTCATGATGGCTGCTAAGCAATCTACCAAGTAGTCTGTAGCCCATTTCATATTTTCAGAGGAAAAAAAGCAATGAAAGAACTTTTCTATCATGCATTATGTATATATGAAATGAATAATTGATTATAATTTTCATAGAAATTCTTTTGACCTGCTCAATAATAAATTATATTAAAAGCACACAAGTAATAAAAATTTGATGTTGGTCTCAGCTAACATTCTGCTAACTGGATACAACACATTGTAGTTAGGTCATTTGCATGCTTTTGTTTATATTTGTTAATATTTAATTTTTCTGTTAATACTGTTAATGCTATTTTATTGGCCGAAATAAACTCCAAATTCACATTATCAAGAAGAATGAGAACAATCATAAAATTAATCACAAAATGAAGCTCTGAGAGAAAAAAGAATAAAGTAATGGCTATATTCTTTTATCTCATCGCAAAGCATACAATGTGGAGGTAAAAATTATTATAATTGCATGCTAGCATACATTTACCTAAAATTGGTCAAAACCCTCAATGTGTGGTGTATAAATTAGTTTTTGTTCCTTATGCAGTAAAAATATAAATGAGAAATTCTCAGCATCTTGGCTCTGCTTATCACCAAAAACTCATCATACAGAAGCAGTATTCATTTAAGGATATTTTAAAATTTTACTTTTTTTTTTTAACTGAAACAGCAATATAAAGATTTACATTCAGAGGTTCCCTCACCAAATGTGGGCACTATTTTAGTTCTTAACAGAAATTTTTAGAATCTATAAACATATATCACTTCAAAATATAAAAACTGGGACATGCTGAAATGCACCCTTTGCATTTACTTGGTCTTGGCCATCACTCAAGGATAGACATAGTAACTACCACATCCTTCCTAATGGATCTATAGAATAAATGTACTATAATTTGTTTAATTATACCACATGTAGTTAGCAATTATTTTGTATTACGATATGGAGTAGAAAACCACACTGCAATTAGTACTGCTAGAGTAAGAATCGTGTATGGGGCAAGAGAATGTTTTGCTACCCATTAAAAGATTGCACCTAAATATCATAAAGAACACTTGGGTCTTAACAATGTATCAGTAATCCTCTTGATCTTAATTCAGTGTTGAAGGAAATAATATTGTGAATATAATCAAATCTTAGGTACTAAATTGTATCTCTTAGTACCATGCATGTAAAAAAATAAGTAGTATCATTTTCCTTATACATGTGTTCCAGCTATTGAGGAAATAAAATGATTTCACAAATTACTGAAAATGAAGAATGAGATAAGAACATGACATACATAATCCCAAGTAACACCATTTCTTTGATTTCAAGTTGCCAATTTCAAGCGTCATGTGTTTTTAGTATCATGTGTAATCTGAACTTATCTTCAAAGCCAAAATATCATTTTTTTAACATTTATTCATTTTTGAGAGACAGAGACAGAGAGTGAGCAGGGGAGGAGCAGAGAGAGAGAGAGACACAAAATCTGAAGCAGGCTCCAGGCTCTGAGCTGTCAGCAGAGTTTGATGTAGGGTTTGAACTCACAAACCGTGAGATCATGACCTAAGCTGAAGTCGGATGCTCAACAGACTGAGCCACCCAGGTGCCTCCCAAAATATCACTGTTTTTTTAAAAAAAATTTTTTTTTCAACGTTTATTTATTTTTGGGACAGAGAGAGACAGAGCATGAACGGGGGAGGGGCAGAGAGAGAGGAAGACACAGAATCGGAAACAGGCTCCAGGCTCTGAGCCATCAGCCCAGAGCCCGACGCGGGGCTCGAACTCACGGACCGCGAGATCGTGACCTGGCTGAAGTCGGACGCTTAACCGACTGCGCCACCCAGGCGCCCCAATATCACTGTTTTTAATGAAGATATGGTCCAGTCAGAGATATGGCAGAGCAAACAGGCTGTGAAATAGTGGTATCTTCTATAACTGGCATAGCAGAATCTGTTTCGGAAATTATTGTGAGTCTCAAATTTTTTTTCTTCAAAGGCAATAACATCCAACTCCTGTGTTTGAAGGATAATGTTTGCTCTCCTTTTTCTGACACTTGACTCCTGTCTGAGCCTACCAAAGCTGACCCTAATCTTGTATTTCTTTAAACATACTGTTAACATATGTTCTTTCTTCCCCACAGACTGATCTGTTTTCTCAGGGTAATCATAATCTGTGTTATTTGTCAATCATTGACCGGAGATTCTACCCCACTATTCATTAAAATTGCCCACAGAGGCTGAAAAGACAGACCAGAGCCCTTTCCCATATTAAGAGATGACTATTGCTGGATTGATCCCTTACTTCCCTTCTCTTCATCAATTCTTGTGACTGTTAGATCAAGTGACTATATTAAACTGTTGGTAGACTTTGCCATTTGAATGTGCCTACTTTCCCTGGTCTGGTCCTTTTACTGCAAACAAACTCATAAATGTGCAGGGTCTTTCTCTGTTTTAGAGAAAGAGATATAACAATAACAATGAGAAAAAAAAGACAACAGAAAACAAGTTTGACTAAGCATAAACCCATTTTTCAAATCCTAATCTGCAGACATAGAAAAGAGAAAGGTAGGCTCTTTTTCGTTTTAATTCTATAAATACTCTAAACTTTGAAGTCTGAAATGTTACCACTATGTAGGCAATGAAGAAGTAAAGAGTAATTTCCTGACTTTCAGGGGATTCATAAACCAATGAATGGGAAAAGTATACAATAACTACCATACAGTATTGAATATGACAAAGTATTATAATAAAACGTTACTATTTAGGAAGCATCTACTGGCACTGCTTTAAGTATTTTACATATATGATTACACGGAATCCTCGCAATTACCCTATAAGGTAATTATTATTATGGACATTTTACAAATGGAAAAATTAAGGTACATGGAGAAGTAGTTGATCTTTGGTCATGTAATTAGTAACTGCAATTGCAGTCATAGTTTTCCTGAGCTTGTGTGACAAATAACTGCGATTAAGAAACTGATTACTTAAAATGAATGCCCAACCATTAAGCACTACCAGAAAGCTGTTGGTTTTCATTAATGACAAGCCTACAAAAGAAAAGCATTCTCAAAAGAGAAGATATATGAAATTGATGAACCATCTCCTCATATGAAAAAAGCCATTTCTTCAATTTTTCCTCTCCATTCCTCATTTCTCATTTTTAGCACAATATAGAAGGAAATTCTTCTCCTTGTAGAAGTCTGATAGGTTTGAATGATAAAATACTAATGTATTTTCATACCTAAACTATCTTAAAGTTTATTTTGAGACAGAGCTCATGTGTGGGAGAGGCAGAGAGAGAAGAGAGAGAGAATCCCAAGCAGGCTACGTGCTGTCAGCATGGAGCCCGATGTCAGGCTTGAACTCATGAACCGTTAGATCATGACCTGAGCTGAAATCAAGAGTCAGACACTTAACTGACTGAGCCACCCAGGCACCCCACCTGAGCATATTTTAATTATATGTTGTTATAACTTTTTATTGGGCTCCCCTTCTAAAAAAATATCATTATGAAGGACTTTCTTACCATAATGTATTTTTGAGACATAGACTGGTTCAGGTGAAACAACAGGTTCTGCAGGGATAGGAGGAGGACCTGTAAATAAAATAAAAATGTAAAGAAACGTGAAGCTTCCATGTTCCAAAAAGCAGGTACCTTACTATTATGTAACACACATATTAGATTATTATCTAAAAATGATTATTTTTTCTGTATAGTTCTGCCAACTCTAGGCCATCAAATCTCTATTAGCTCAGACTTAGTAAATGTCCTGTCTTACTGAAATTATACAAACACATTTCTGGATTTCCTAATTTATCAGCACAAGCATAATTGCTACTATATAGTTGGTGTTGTAATAGATGCAACGTTCTGAAAAACATTTAAAATTAAACCTTGTTTTAGATGCCCATGAACAATTCTCTATTTACAGTAATACTATGCAAAATACTTAAAATTATTATCCTATCAAAAATTTAATATGTGAGAATTATCATTTTTCCTAGAGGGATACTTCATTCAAAGTTTTCAAAGCTGTTAGTCTCATTCTTTGCAATGGCTTTCCAATTTGTTTCCCAAGTTAGGGAATCTAGGAAAAACAAACCAAAAAAGAACACTAAACCAAAGAAACAAAAAAAAGATCATAAAAGTTTAAATGAAGAGGCTCCAGGAGCAAAGGTTCAAGATATTAGATCTCTCAAGAATCATTCATAAAGACAAAGGAAGCAAAAAAGCTGCTCCTCTGGACTTCATTTTGGCTAAGATGAAATACTGGCCAAATACATAAAAGTTAGCAAGGAAAGATTAGCAATGTCATCTTGTTAGTTAAGCAAAGGCTAACTATAGATATATACACTCTGGACTTTAGAAAAGCAGAACCTTGGGGCGCCTGGGTGGCGCAGTCGGTTGAGTGTCCGACTTCAACCAGGTCACGATCTCGCGGTCCGTGAGTTCGAGCCCCGCGTCGGGCTCTGGGCTGATGGCTCAGAGCCTGGAGCCTGTTTCCGATTCTGTGTCTCCCTCTCTCTCTGTCCCTCCCCCGTTCATGCTCTGTCTCTCTCTGTCCCAAAAATAAATAAACGTTGAAAAAAAAAATTTAAAAAAGAAAAGCAGAACCTTAAAAACTCAAAGAAAGATGATTTTTTTCCATTTACTAGTGCACTAGGCACAAGTGGAGTGAAAAACACAGATATTAAATCCTATTTATCAAGCACAAATAATTTCAATAAAGAAAATGTGACTGTACCAGTTGCACTGATCTTAAGAGGCACTGTATAAATAAGCAAAATAGTCTTGAAAAAGAACAAAGGTGGAAGACTCACACTTCACTATATCAAAACTTAATACAAAGTGACAGTAAATAAAAGCAGTATGGTAATGGCATAAAGACACACAGACCAATGGAACAGGGAATGCAGAAATAAATTCTCACTTATTTTGTCAAATGATTCTTGACAAGGGTGCCAGTATCATTCAAAAACAGAAAAGGCAATCTTTTCAATGATGCTAGAAAAACTGGATATTCACATGCAAAAGATTAAAGATGGACACCTACCCAACACTACATACAGAAATTAAGTCAGTATGGATCAAAGACGCAAACCTAAGGGCAAAAGCCATGAAGCTCTTAGAAGAAAACAAAGAGAAAAGCTTGATGATGACACTGGATTTGGCAATAATTCCCTGGATATGACCCTAAAAGTACAGGCAATAAAAACCTGGGATTTTATCAAAATTAAATACTTTTGTGAATCAAAACCCACTAATAACAGAGTAAAATGTAAATCACAAAAAGGGAGAAAACATAGGTACCTCACATATCTGATAAGGCATTGACATCCAGAATATACAGCAGTCCTCCCCTTATCTGAGGTGATTAGTTCCACTGCAAATAATACTGAACCCTATATATATATACACACACACACACACACACACACACACACACACACGTTTTTAATATGTATGTTATACGCACATCCTTGTGATAAAGTTTAATTTATAAACTAGAAAAAATTAATAATAGTAAGAAATTAATAGAATATACATACTGTAATAAGAATTATGTGAATATAGTCCTCTCTCTCAAAATATCTTATTGTACTGTACTCACCTTTCTTGCAACGGGAGATGATAAAATGTCATGAGATGAAGTAAAGTGAATGACACAGGCATTGTGATGTAGTGTTAGGCTACTATTGACCTTCTGATGTCAGAAGAAGAATCATCTGCTTCCAGACCACAGTTGACCACAGGGAAGTGAAGCCACAGAAAGTGAAACTGTGAATAAGAAGGGAACTACTGGATAGAGGACTCCTAAAACTCAACAAAAAGACCAATGACCCAATTCAAAAATGGGCAAAAGAATGGAGTATGACATATCTCTGAAGAAGATATACAAGTGGCACATGAAAAATGCTCACCATCACTAGTCAGTAAGAAAATGCAAATCAAAGTCACAATGAGATGCCACATCACACCCAAAAGGATGGCTACTATTTAAAAAACCCAGAACATAACAAGCATTGGTGAGGATGTGGAAAAACTGGAACCTTTCCACACTGTAGGCAGGAATGTCAAATAGTGCAGCCATTATAAAGAACAGTACAGCAACTCTTAAAAATTTAAATATAAAATTATCATATGACCTAGCAGTTCCACTTCTGGGTATAAATCCCAAAGAATTGGAACCAGAATGTCAAAGAGATATTCGTACACCTATGTTCATAGCAGCATTAGTCACAATAGCCAAATTTGAGGCAACCCAAGTATGTATCAACTGATGAATGGATAAACAAAATGTGGTATATACATACAAGAGAATATTATTCAGCCTTAAAAAGGAAGGAAATTTTGATACATGCTACAATAAAAACTTTGAGGACATAATGATAAGTGAAAGAAGTCAGCAATGAAAGACAAATACTGTATGATTCCATTTGAGGTACCTAGAAAAATTCTCATAGAAAATAGAATGGTAATTGCCATGAGCTTGGTGTGGAGTGGGGGTGGGGAAGGAATGAGTAATTTTTTAATGGGTATAGAATTTCAGTTTTTCAAGATGAAAAGAGCTCTGGATATTGGATACACAACAAAGTGAATATATTTAACACGAAAGTGTACACTTAAAACAATTACGACACTAAAATTTATATTTTATATATATGCAGTACAAAATTTTATTTTACCACACTAAAAACCTGAATTTTTTAAAAAAGCAGTATTGAAATAAGCTAAACTTAGAACCAGATTCTTAAATCATTGTATAAAAAGTGTTAAGATTTTCAAAACCTAACAGAGTATTATTAATAACAGTCCTTGAAAAAACTTAGAGCAACATTATACAGTTAATTAACAATTATGATTATACTTAAAAAACACCATGTACAAAATATGAAAGAAGCAATACGTGGAAAATAATTTTTTTGAGCTCAGAATTTTGAAAAAAATTAAAAATATGGTTTTTAAGTGTTTAGGACATTTTAAAGAAAATGTAACTCACTGTAAAGAAAAAGGTGACTTAATTAAATTTTTACCAGGCTCTGTGACCACAGAAAATACATTATTAAAAACTTTTAGTCATAATTAAGGCACTATTGGCACTTTTTGAGAAAACAATGGTATTGAAAATAAAAGTGGTACCAGTGGAGATGGGAAAATGTTTTAATTTTCACAAAAAAGGGAAAAGATAGATATTTAAAAACTAAAAATCATATCCCACCAGGCAAAACATTTGCTAGCCCTAAATAAGCATTTTGAAGTATTTATCATTAGAAGCCAATCATAAACATTTTCTGATGATTAAGTTAGATGCTTGGGAAATTGTGTAGATAGATTTTAACTTAATTTTAACAAAGCATTTTACATCTTAGCTCCCTGACAGTAGAGGACAGGTCTTATGTAATTCTAGATCCTCAGCACCTACCACAGGCCCTGGAACATAGTACATCCTGAAAACATTTATTGATTTATTCATTCTGCTGCATGCTACTATTGGAAGGAAACTGGGAAAATATTGCTGGGGACGTACCTAGATGGGCTGATAGCTGATAAAATAATCACATATAAAGGATTTCAATAAATAAACTGAAAGAATGTCTTAAGAATATTATTTGTCACAGGTTCTACATTTTACATTAATTTGTTAAAGACTCTGGAAAGGCAAAGGCATATCTATAAAAAAATAAATCTAAATAAATCACTTGTCACACTAAGCTCTAGGTGAGTAAAATTTGTTCACTCAGGGCATAAAGCAGTGTGAGAATGGATAAATGAATGATGGACAAAAACGAATACTAGTAAAGATGACAAAATTATCAAATGATAAAATCAGAACTCAAAATTATCAAAAGTGATTTCATATTAGGAAGGAATTTCTAGGTTAAAATCAGTACCTTCTAAATATTTAAAAGAAAAAAAGTCAAAACGTTATCCAGAGGACAAAAGGAAAAAAAATGCATAACATGACATCAGACATTCATAATAAGTGCAAATGTTAAAGCTTTTTATTGAAACATTTATTGACTAGGTCAAAAAATCTAATTTTATGCACAAAAGAAAATCATTAAAAACAAAACAATAGGATAAAGACACTGGACCAATACAAAGTTTAACAAAGTATCAATCTGAGAATTTCAAAAAATTCAAGACCAAAACATATATAACATAAAATATACAAGATAAAAAAGTTATTTTATATTGAATTAAAAAAATATACACTGTAACACCATGAAATCACTGCATCACTGCTCTATAGGTCAAATAACATGTAAAAATGAAAGCATTTCAATAAAATAAGGATAATGACATTTATAGTGCCAGCATGTATAAGACATGTACCAGAATCATCATACCTAGCCCTTTAATTAATAAACCTGAAAAATAGTGAAGAGAAAATAACGTGAAAATTAACAAAGTACGTTCTTAAGTACTTAATAAATCCAAAGTATGACAAACTATTTGAAAACAATGAAAAAACCACACATCAAAACTCACAAGATGTGGCAAAATAAATCATTTTTAATTATTAGTTTTAAACAACAAAAATAAAGATACATGAAAGAAGAGTTGAACATAGAACAAAAAGTTTAAGTATTAAGAAAAACAAAATGAATAGACTAAAAACAAACCAAAAAAAAAGCCCAGTAGTAAAATAAATAAAGTGATGATTTGTATTTAAAAAGAATGAGTTTATGATCTCTGTTTAAATCAGATTTTTCTTTTTTTAAAGTTATCATTTACAGATGAACCAAAATGTAATCTACCGTTAAACGCGCAAAAATTGCTCACTATGACAAAATTTGCTTACTATGCTAGCATATACACCATGGTAACATATTCCTCAAATTGATTATTAGTAATAAAAGCTACCATCATTTCATTACAAATTATTCACTAAACACTAGGTAAGGGCTTTGCATACATTACTTAGTTAATTCTAATAACAGCATAGGAGGTAGTTACTATTGGTGTCCCCACTTTTTATGTTTTTTTTATTTTTTATTTATTCTTTTTTTTAATGTCCTCCCTTTTTAAATGATGAAGCTTGCATTTAGAGGGCAAATAACTTGTCTGTTCAGAGTCAATATTCCACCTTCAGCAATTAATTCTGGAATTTACACTTAACCTATTTGCTGTGTTACTTTAGGCCATTATTTTCTCCAATAACTCTACCATCACTGAATTTAATATAAGCCAACTTCACAAAAATTGCATTTAAAAACTCTAAGCATTAAATGCACAGTATTAAAGCGCATAATAAGAACCCAATGAACTACAGAGAAAATCAAGTTTCTGGATACGAAGCTCTTGAGAATCTGACAAATTATCAGATAATTCAGCCAACATGTTCATATAATTTGGTGCTGAAATATACAAGAGTATTTTTTTCTTTTATATAAAATCTTTGTATTCTTTCCTTTGCTATTATTTTTATTTTGTTTTTAATTCAAGTATAATTAATATACAGCATTATATTAATTTCAGGTGTATGATATAGTGATTCAACAATTCTATACGTTTGTTACGCAGTACTCATCACAATGGGTGTACTCAATCCCCTATACAGGAGCATTTTAACTAATATTAAATATGTCAGCAATCAGCAATGGAAGAAAATAAATTCTGCCATTTCTCTCCTGTAGTTGCCAAATAATTCTTCATTAACAAATCCTTTGGTGATTCCTTCTGGAAAAAGATTAATTTTACAAACATTTATAATCAAGAGTATTTACCTGATGTTTCTAAAATTCTTGGCTCAGGTTCATCCAATTGTAGAAGCTCATCAAGAGCTAATTTTGCTGCATTGGATCTAGACTCCTTTTTATTTTGTCCCAGTCCAGTCTTATATTGAACACCATCCACCACAGCACAAAAAGCAAAATATGGTCCCATAACATTACCTTGAAAAAGAAGCCAGAATGAATGCTGCAACAATTCATAATATGTTCTTGCAAATGACATTTTATAAAGAAAAATATCCTAGTACAAACACTGTGGAAAACTATCTTGGCCTATTAGTTTTGTGTTTTATTTTATTTTATTTATTACAGCCAATGCAGGTTAAATATTTTTTTTATGTTCTTTATTTTTGAGAGATAGAGAGAGAGAGAGAGAGAGTGCAAAGGAGAGAGCATGCAAAGCAGAGGGACAGGCAGAGAGAGAGGGAGACACAGAATCCGAAGCAGGCTCCAGGCTCTGAGCTGTCAGCACAGAGCCTGATGTGGGGCTCAAACCCATGGACAGTGAGATTGTGGCCTGAGCTGAAGTCGGACGCTTAACCGACTGAGACGCCCAGGTGCCCCACAGCCAATGCAGGTTAAAAGCAAAGCTGGATGAACCCCTGAACCAGTTCTGAGGAATTCATCAGGCAACCAGGTTAGCTCCAAATTCAGCATGAACAGTAGGGCCAGCTTTAGAGTATAGATCATACATGGAGGGACAGGGTCTTGTATAAAGAAATACCTGGCAATAGAAAGCACCCAAATATCTACTGAATGACCAACAAAGGTAAAATGTGGAGCCTCTGGCAACATCTCTCTTCTCCCACCTTCTGAGTACTCTGATACTCTTGTAAGCCCCAGAACAAAAATACCCCTTGGAAGAAATCCTGTGAACCAATCAGGGTGTCATGGTAAGCAATTCAAACCACCATAACTTTAAAGGCAAGTGGAGGGGAGAGAATTCACGAGGAAAACCAAAACAAACAACAGTTTTATACTGAATGTCCAGTCATCCAAAATTCCTAGAAGGATTAGTTTTACACAATTACTTTTACCTAGTTTTCATATTTGCCTAATGAAAACTGAAGTGGAATTATCTAAATTTATAGGCCAAAGATTTTTCCAGTTCAAGTTTTACTTGTTGGTATTCAGACTTTAGAAGTTCTCTAGTTAATTCAAGTCTCTACTCGTTATGGATGGCTAGGTACAGCGTCACTCCACATAAGCCCCATCATCACTGTTATTATTACTTCCTTACATATTACACTAACTTCTGAGTTTCCATATATATCAAAGTTTTACAAGTAACTCCTGACTACATTTGAGTAAATTGCTTTCCTCCCACCATCTATGACTTCAGTTTCCCAAATTCCTTCATTATGATCACCTAGGTTCCCGTCCCAACTTACTAAACCTTGTAATATTTTGTACATTTATTTAACAAGGGTGAGATTATTATGTGTGAGATATGACCCATCAAATTTGTGAATAAGACCTCTGTGTCAGAGTACTGAGCCTTTAAGCTTCATCCCATCATGCTTCAGGTTCTCAAACTTTAGTATGTATCTAAATCACCTGTAGAGTTGTTAAAATATACTCTGGTGTCATTATTAAACCTACTCATTCAGATTATTCAACTAGTAGTATACACATAAAGTAAATATCATTACTTATCAATGGGTTGTAGTTGTGAGCAGCTTTTACTAAGTTCAATGAAGATTTGCCCTCACATTTTTTTTCTTACTATGACCAACAGCTTACATTTTCCAAGAGCATTCTGAGAAGAATGGAGGGAAATACAACTAGTGACACAAAAATAAAGTCCACAGTACCAATCACGAAGTAATCCCACCTACAGTGACTAGACCTTGGAAAACTCCCACCCGCGATATTAAGACTCTATTTTTGTCACATGTTTACCAGTTATTTCATTCAAAACAACAGACTGGAAACTTGACTTCACTATGACAATCTTTGTTAAAATCTCAAAAACTTTAAATCCTTTTGCAAAGATACCTTGAGACCCATGTTGGCAAAAGTTAGTATCAGTAAGAGAAAATTTAAAAACCAAGCTACTTAATAATGTGTTTTTATATACAAATACCCATAGGAACCCACACATGTGTACACATATATATATATTTTTAAGGATTGTGTTTCTTTGACTCATACTTTTAGCCTGTCAATACCTGTTAAGAGCATTTATTTTCTTAAAAAAAATTTTTTTTACATTTATTCATTTTTGAGAGACAGAGAGAGACAGAGCATGAGTGGGGAAGGGGCAGAGAGAGAGGGAGACACAGAATCTGAAGCAGGCTCCAGGCTCTGACCTGCCAGCACAGAGCCCGACGTGGGGCTTGAACTCATGAACTATGAGATCATGACCTGAGCCGAAGTCAGACACTCAACCAACTGAGCCACCCAGGCACCCCAAGAGCATTTATTTTCTTATCCCTCTACTTTCCGAAAGTTCTATCTAATCATTGGTCATAAGGTAAAGAGATCAGAGGCTGCTGTTTGCATTTTATTTGATCTTTACTCCTGCAGCCTTCCACAGGCACAATGTGGTAAAAGACCCTTCTGGTTGGGAGGTGGTTTAAGTGAGAATGGAGAAAATAGTCACACACATCTGCAGAAAGGGTATCCATCATATACTATTTTCGATATACTATCCAAGTCCTAGTTTCACTTTTAGAAGTGAAATTCAGAATTTCATTTGAATTTCAGTTCATTTCACTTGAATTTCACTAACGGGATTTCAGTTCAACTAGCCACACACAAAAAATTAAAATTCAGTGATTAGAAAAATTTTGTACATGTATGTTATTTGCAGAAAAGTATGAATATAAAAATTTCTGAAGTATATTTGTCAAAACATACTAGTTACCTAACCCCAACATTACATGAATATAGAAAATAACCAAATTTAGTACCACTTGTACTCTCTGCTTTAAAAAAAAATGTTTTTTTAACATTTTTGAGAGACAGAGCACGAACAGGGGAGGTGTGGAGAAAGAGGGAGATATAGAATCTGAAGCAGGCTCTAGGCTCTGAGCTGTCAGCACAGAGCCCAACATGGGGCTCAAACCCATGAACTATGAGATCATGACCTGAGCTGAAGTTGGACACTTAATCCACTGAGCCATCTAGGCACCCGTTTGCTATGCTTTTCATAGGAAAGTATTTTCCAGTACTGCAATAACCAGATACAACTTTCCACTTGCCTGTTGTTACTGTTTCCTTAAGGTCAAGGTGAACTCGTTGCATTTGTGCAAATTGGTGCAAAGCTGACACAGGATTTATCTCTCCACGTTTGTATTTCATTATAAATTCCTTGGGTATTTTTTTTGGAGGAAGGACAGGATTTGAAGTAGATGCAAGACCTTTGGAAAGCAATGGTTCTGGAAAATTACCTAAAAATAAATGTTTACAGTGGTCAGTTCTGTAAAATAATAATAATAAAAAAAGTAAAAGCACTAAATCCTCCCCTAAAATGGAAGATTGTCCCTGATAGATCTAATTGTTTTTCATTACAGGTAAGTTTCTACTAAAAAATTTTGGCACACATGATAAGTGCAACCTGTTGAAGCAAATACCTTTTGGAGTACTCAAACTATTTGCAAAGAAGTACTATCATTGTCATAACATTAAGTGAGGTCAAGGTTTTCAGAGGCTCTCAAAAGTCATTTTTTTACACATGATGTCACTAAGACCTAGACTGAGGACATAGTCCTGGGACTAAGACAAGTTTGTTTCCCATTCACTGTTTTATATTACTTTTCACTTCGAATTCAATTGACTTTAGGTGTTTGTCCCTGCTTTGTACTTAATCTCAGTGATATATGGAATAGAAACCAGTGTAAATTCAGTCTCTTCCCTGAGGGGGCTAACACAACTGCACCTCAAAAAAGCAAGACACCCTTTAAGTGGTTAAATAGTAAAATAATTGCATAGCAAGGGGAAAGATTTCTACAGGTCTCCTTCAGTGTTCAGAGTCAAATCTGAGTTCCAGATGGGACACAGCCGCTGGTAAATGGATATATAGTCAGGGAACATTTAAACTGGAGGCTCAACAATACTTACTAGCCATCCCAGATTCTTAACTCAGACATTATTGCAAATGAAAAAGAAGTCATACCCGTCACTTGCGTAACCTTGGATGCCATATTCGACAGGCTGTAACTTTCTGAAGAATATCCTGTGGGTGTAGCTACCGTCTGGGCTGATGGCTGAACTGGCAAGTTCTTTTTCAGCATCTGAGCAAAGCTAGGGACCCGGGAACTCTGAAACCAGTCATTGTTGCCAGACATTTTCTCGCCTATAAATGATACGAAAATTGGCAGAAAACAAAAAAACAAAGTACTAGATAAAAGTAATCTGAAATTAAAAATAATATATATTCCCATAAATGGCTTGAACACACACGACATAGAACTAAATCTCGTTAACTTATGTCATGACTGCTTTGTAACTAGAGTTTTAACAGGCACGGGATTCATCCCGCCTATAGCCCTTCCCTAAGTGCTGCTACAAAAGGGTAACGAAGAGTCAAAACAGTTGGCCGGAGGGGCGCCTGGGTGGCGCAGTCGGTCAAGCGTCCGACTTCAGCCAGGTCACGATCTCGCGGTCCGTGAGTTCGAGCCCCGCGTCGGGCTCTGGGCTGATGGCTCAGAGCCTGGAGCCTGTTTCCGATTCTGTGTCTCCCTCTCTCTCTGCCCCTCCCCTGTTCATGCTCTGTCTCTCTCTGTCCCAAAAATAAATAAACGTTGAAAAAAAAAATTAAAAAACAAAAAAAAAAAACAACAAAAAAAAAACAGTTGGCCGGAAAAGCCCCTACATCTACCCGGGGGTCAGAGAAAAACAGAAAAGAAAACATAAAAACATAAGACTCTCAAAGGCCGATTCCAGCCCAACTCCCACCCACCAAAATTGTGCTTCCTGCCCTGTAGGTCGGAGACCTAGCGGCAGGCCGGGGGCTCGCCAGCCGCAGCTGCCACCGCCGTTGCTTCCTCCTCCCGGTTCCACCTCGGGCTTCAAGGCTCACGAGGCCAGAATTGCATCTTTCAAAAGCTGCCTGGTGGCGTCCCAGCAGTACGCGGACTAACACCCCACAACCCTCTTCATCCAATTACCAACCGTCTGCAGGGCTGTGCTCCCGCCCCCGCGCTCGCGCCTGCGCCAGCGCCATGGCAGTGCCCTCTGGGCTGTGCAGCCTGCGTCAACAAACGGAGAGACGTAGGGCGTCACGCATTCGACGTCCTGTGATGCCGACCTTGTTCTCTCTGAGCGTGGGTACCCAGACCCCCCTAAGGGGCCCTCACTGCCACGGAAGTCAGGTAAAGCTGCGCAGCCAGGCATTTCTACTGTCGTACCCAATGCCCTCCACACACCTGGCGCTACCGTTTTCCTGAAGCACTGTGTTAGAGCCGGGGTGCTTGGGGGTGTCCCTGGGGTACCAATGTGTGGATGGTTTCAAAGAAACTTTTCGTTTTATCCCTGGTTATGCTGAGAAGGCCCCTGTGGACAAGGATTGGCCTCAACAGTGCCTTTACTGTTTACAGGAAAAAAAAAAAAAACTTTGGGCTTTGCATTAGTTTCACTGCTGGTACCAAACAATGAACAATCATTGAAACAGGTGGGGACATTGAAAGCTAATGGCTGTAATATCTGAGTGATAAACCCATTGTGGGTGTTTTCTTCAATTCTTTGCACTCGTGAAGGTTGAAGGAGACCCTAATGGAGGTGTTAGCTGACAGATGGTAAATTAAATTTACCCATGAAGGCAATTTATTTTTTAATCTATATACATTATGGTGTTGTAGATAGGATTTTGATGTATGCTAAGTCCATTTTGGCCCAAATCCAAGGGGGCTGATTTTTTTTTTTTTTTAGTGAAATAACCTTAAAAGAATCGCCTTGTAAAGACTCAAGCCCTCCCCTCTTTCCTAAGGAGAATATTAAGACCACACTATACCTGTGACTACTTACTTAATTTACCTTCTGGCTAATGCCTGGCTCTATTTTTCTTTAGTAAATTACCAATCGAGTTTGGCAAGTAACGCAGAAGGAATTGAAGAATTGAGTGATAGCATTATTACAATATATAAATGCTCCCCTACTTTTTTTATATAGGCAAGATTTCTCAAGGGTTAAATCATTTTAAAAGAAAAAGAATAGAATTGATGGTATTCTACCTCATTATAGCAAGGAGTAATATCCGTCCACAAATACGTGGGCTAATTGGAAGAAAACAAAAACCTTAATTCCTCTTACAAGTAATGCATTTTCAGTAAAGGCATATTTTTCTCTAGTGATTACCAAAATGTATTGATATGTCGCTTTGATCAAATGCCCATTAATAATTGTAATGATAATTCAAAGCAGAATTCTTTTCCTTAACATTTAGAGACTTTTGCTTACAGGAAATTAAAAAATTCAAATGGTGTTGCCAAAGAGTATGATAGGGATGAATAAAACTTCTGAGTACAAAAACATGTAATTACATTAGGATCTAATTTGAGGAGGGACATGGAATGGAAATAGAAGGCCAAGAAGTTAAAGGAATGCATAAAAATTACTCTTAAAGTGTATATAAATAATATTTTATTTTGAAATAATTTTAGATTTACAGAAGAATTGTAAAGATAACACAGTTTCCTTATACTCTTCCATTCAGTTTTCCTTATTGTCAACATTATTATTTTTTTATGTTTACTTACTTTTGAGAGAGAGGGCAAGCAGGAGAGGGGGCAGAGATAGAGAGGGAAACAAAGAATCTGAAGCAGGCTCCAGGCTCCAAGCTGTCAGCACAGAGCTCAACACAGGCTTGAACTCACAGACCGTGAGATCATGACCTGAGCCCGAAGTCAGTCGCTTAACCTGAGCCACCAGGTGCCCCTCCTTATTGTTAACATTATATGTAACAATAGCACAATTTTCAAACCTAAGAAATTGGTATTAATACAACACTACTAACTATACTATACACTTCATTAGGATTTCACTAGTTTTTCAATTAATGTCCATTCAATCCAGGATATTACATTGCACTTAGTGGTCCCGTCTTAGTCTTCTGTGGCCTGTGATAGTTTTCAGTTTTTGCTTTTTTTCATGACCTTGACACTTTTGAAGAGTAGTGATTGAATACGTTGTAGAATGGCCCTAAATTTGGGTTTGCCTAATGTTTTCTCATGGTTATGCAAGAGATAAGAGTATTTGGGGAGACGACTACATAGGTGAAGTTCACTTCTCATAGCATATTTGGGAGTACATGATGTTAGCAGCTATTGCTGATATTAACTTTGATGACTTGGTTAAGGTTGTGTCTCCAGTTTCTCTTCTGTAAAGTTACCATTTTTCTTTTCTGTACTCTTTGTTAGAAGGATTCCATCCCAGAGAGAGTATCACAGAATTTGTGGACATATATTAAAATCACCATATTAATAAACATTTTGAAGGAGATATTTTGAGGTTATGCAAATGTCTTGTTTCACCCTGGAGTTTCACTAATTTTCATTCGTCTTTGGATCTTGCCTCAAGCAGTTATCACTGTGGTGTTTTTTTTTTTTTAAATATGCTTTCTCAGTTAAATTTCCTTTTTATTGAGATACTATTGACATAAATTAGTTTCAGGTGTACAGTGTAATGATTTGTTATCTGTATATACTATGAATTGATCACCACAATAAGACGATTTAAAATCCATCCCCCAAATCTTTTTTCTTTTTTTGTGGTAAAAACTTTTGAGATATACTTTGATATACTTTCTTAGCAACTTTTAGTGTATTTCAGAGATGTAGCAGGTTTAGTTCTAGACCACTGTGATAATGCAAATGTCACAATACAGAAAGTCATGAGTTTTTTGGTTTCCAGTGCATATAAAAGTAATGTTAATACTATACTGTAGTCTATTAAATGTGCAATAGCAATATGTCTAAAAACACAATGTACAAACTTAACTTAAAAATACTTTGTTGCTAAAAAAAATGCTACCATCATCTGAGTAGTAATCTTTTTGCTGGTGGAGAGTTTTGCATTGATATTGATAGCTGCTGACTGATCAGGATGGCCTTGCTGAAGGTTGAGTGGATGTGGCAATTTCTTTAAGATAACAATGAATTTGGTGCATCAATACTTTTCTTTTCACTGATGATTTTTCTGTAGCACACAATGCTATTTGGTAGCATTTTACTCACATGCCTTTCAGATTTAGAATCAATCCTTCTCAAACCCTACTGCTGCTTTATCAACTTAGTTTACGTAATATTTTAAGCCTTTTGTTGTCATTCCAACACTCTTTACAATATCTTCACCAGGTGTAGATTCCTTCTCAAGAAGCTACTTTCTTTGTTCATCCATTAGAAGCAGCTCCTCATCCATTCAAATTTTATCGTTAGATTGCAGCAATTCAATCACACCTTTAGTTTCTACCTCTAATTGTAGTTTTCTTGCTATTTTTACCATGTCTGCAATCACTTCCTCCTCTGAAGTCTTGAACCCATCAAAGTCATCCATGAAAGTTGGAAGCAACTTCTTCTAAACTCCTGTTTATGTTGCTGTTTTGACCTCTTATGAATCATGGATGTTCTTAATGGCATCTAGAACGGTGAATCCTTTCTAAAAGGTTTTCCGTTTATTTTGCCCATATCCATCAGAAGAATCATATCTATGGAAGCTATAGCCTTAAAAATTAAGTCTTCTTAGTAAGACTTGAAAGTGAAAATTAATCTTTGATCTATGGGGTGCAAAATAGATGTTGTGTTAGCAAGAATGAAGGTAACATTAATTTTATTATATATCTCCATAAGAGCTCTTGGGTGATCAAGTGCATTGTCAATTGAGCTTAAAATATTCAGTAAACCATGTTATAAACAGACGTGCTGTCATCCAGGCTTTGTTGTTCCTTTGATAGAACATGAGCAGAGTAGAGTTAGCACGGTTCTCAAGGACCCTTTTCAAAATGGCAAATGAGCATGGGCTTCAATTTATAATCACCAGCTGCATTAGCTGTTAAGAATATCAGCTTCTCCTTTGAAGCCAGGCATTGAGTTCTCTCTAGCTCTGAAAGTCCTAGATAACATCTTCTTCCAACAGCAGGCTGTTTTGTCTACATTGAAGATCTGTTGTTTAGTGTAGCCATCTTCATTAATTATCTTAGCTAGGTTTTCTGGATAACTTGCTGCTGTTTCAACTTGTACGTTTATGTTATGAAAATGGCTTCTTTCCTTAATGAAACAACCTCTGCTAGCTTCAGACTTTTCTTCTGCATCTTACTCACCTCTCTCAGCCTTCATAGAATTGAAGAGAGTGA